CATGCCATCAGAAATACTGGTCAGGGGAGAGAACTCGAGGCACTCAATACTTGATGGTCCTGGGAATGAAAAGACCCTGGACAAGCAAACCCACGGCAGAGACCTGGCTATATCACTTAGACCAGTCCGGGCTCTATGGTCTGCTTCTTCTCTCTTTCCTCTCTAGAGTCTAGGGTGGAACACGATTAAACAAACAAAACAAAACAAACCAGGACAAGTTCAACTATGTCTTTCTGGTTTCCATCTTTGTTTTTGACAGGGTATCCAGGGAAATCCTCCAAGGTCTCAGAAATGAAACATGCCACTCCTGGAGGTCTTCTTTTCACCATCCCTGGCCCTCAACTTTTTTTTTTAACATAGGAGGGACCTGGGGTAGCTTTTGGAGGCTACAAAAACAAAGCATGGATCACACACAGTCTGCATGCCAAGCTTTGGACAATGATCCCCGGTGGTTTCAACCTTGGGTCACCCAGGTGGTCTGGCCAGGATTCCTGGGAACTGTAGTCTATGAACATCTGGGGACACAAAGCTGGGAACCACTGCCCTAGATCAAAGGTGAAGGTCAGCCCAAGAGCTTTGTCAACGAGGTGCCTACAAATTGTTTGTGATAGATATCCTTTCTTCATCTGTGGACAAGATTTAACATCTTTATTTCAAGAGAAATTTATCTGTTGCTGCTTTTAGACTGTTTCATACGGGTAGATTTTTTTTTTAAGATTGCATTTTTCTATGCACTGCTTGCCGCATGTCATTTTGTGACGGTTATATTCTATTCTGATGGATGGATGTCACATGACTTGTTCTTATGAGCAGAAAAGATATAATATCTCTTAAATGCCGAATAATAAAGTTAATCATAACATTGGCAAGGTCAGTCAGTGAGCAGATTTTACATTCAAAAGTGTCAGATTATCTCCAGGTATGTTTTAAGATCTGTAGAATTATTTCCAGTGACCTATTCCTCATTGGAATTAGCATGCTGTTCGTCTCCATTATGGCACTGCTTGCCTCTCCAGATCCCTCTCCAGTCTAGGAACAGCTGGTAGTTCTGATGTCACGGGGCGGGTGAATTCGAATTTTGCAGGAATTAGCCATGGCATTGAACCCTGAACACACATTTTAAAAATCCTTGGAATTTTGGACAGCTATTTTAAAGGAGCCTTGTGGTTAAAGCTGCTGTACTGCAGCCAAAACTATGCTCTCAACCCAGATTCAATCCCAGGTAGCCGTCTCAAGGTTCACTCAGATTTCCATCCTTCTGAGATCAGTAAAGGGGGAGGGGCAATGTGTAGCTTGCATAATTAACAAGTAAACCACCCAGAGAGTGCTTTAAGCCCTATGGGGTGGTATATAAGCAGCACACCTTGCTTTGCTTTCAAAATTTAAAAATGGTGAGGATCCGTTGCCACCACTGTCACCAGTCTCCACTGCTCCAGTGCAGTGCTCCAGTCACTGGGAGAAAGACAGAACGGAAGACCTTGATATTTCTCAGATGTGGGTATCTAGCAAAAATTTCGGAAACATTATATACTTTTGCATGCCAGCAAACCACCAGGCAAAGCAGAATGCAACAGGGTATGTAGAGAAGAGCTGAATCATGCAGGCTACAGGCCTTCAGAGATTGACTGAGAGGGATCAGGAATACATGCACAATTCAATGCTATTCTACTGATCCAACAAGCTCATCAGAGGTTGCTCAAATAGAAGGACACACTCGTAAATCCTTAGATGCATTTCATACAATTCATCCCCGGAGAGGAGAGATATTGAATTGGAGACTGGATTCATACAACGATTTGCCTAGAAAGAAAGGCTAAAGAAAAGGAACACATGCAAAGCAAGGTCTTATCAGCCTTGAGGGCTAACCGGAGGAGGAGGAGGAGGAGCTGCCATCTGCCCAGATAAATACTTTTATCCCCATCACAAGTACATGTTGAAGAGGAAGAGGGGGTGGCTTAACTGCACTGCAGAAATCTCTTTTATAAGCAATCACGGCTAGCAGTGGCAGAGACCCCAGTGACACTACCAGCAAATGTGCCACAACTATCAGGGGCTAGGTGAGAACACGTGGCTGTCGTGTTTTCAGGTCAGCAGCAGGCAACCGACCCCCTCCCTTGCTCCCAACCTCATCTCTTGGGGAAAGGAAACTCAAACATATGGCACTGGATGTGCGGAAACTGCCAGGCTCATAATTAACCAATTAAAAGGCATGTGGAGCTTCTAGACAGCATAAATCTCTACTGCTAAAAAAAATGCTGAGGGCTACCGAAGGTGCCAGCATGAGTCTTCTCTGAAAATCTCTCTTCATTAATGTTTCATGCTGAGCCAAATGTGTTGTAATGAAATGGCCATTAATGGAGTTACATTTATGATGATGTGTTACTGACGTTAACCTTCCCAAACCTGAATTTAACACCATCAGTAGGGCTCTCTCAAAACAACTGTCATAAACTAAGGTCAAGGTGTGAGGCTTGCTTATAGAGAGTGTGCTTAACAGAAGGGGAGCAGGGAGAAAGATCAAAATAAATACACATAAGCTTGACTGGTCATGTCAAAATCCAAAGTGTATTCAGGCCCCCAGGGTTCTCCTTCACCTCCTGCTGATGAGATTTTTCTCCCCTGCTCTTAACCTGGCTCATATGTCCCTAGAGGTCTAGGCTCAGTTTGTATGATGGAGAAGCTGCAGGAAATCTCCATCAGGAAGAAACATGTTGTGTGAAACAGAGGCACAATGGGACGATAGCCATAATTTGCCTCTATTGCTATGGGGCAAGATTTATATGGCTTGATCCTCGTGAAGAGAGGAAGCAGTCTTAGAATGCCCATCTAGTCAAGTGCCGTCCACTCTGAGTGATTGTTGTGGCTTTCAGGACAGATCCTTCATAGCCCTAGTTCTATGTGGCGATCTCTGGGATGGCCTAGTGATCACCCACCCAAGTACCAACCAGATGTGATCCAATCTAGTTTCTGAAATCAGATGAGATTAATGTGTTCCAGATGGTATAGCGGTCAAGTAGCTTCTGCACAAACACATGCGCCCATAGAGCGACTGCATTTGTGAGGGCCAAAGGACAGAAAACATAGATGTTTCGTATGTTATGTGCTACTAGAAACAAAAAGACTGTTGCATTATTTGGTTTTGCTTACTCACTCCAGACAATCCATGACACCTTTGACTCTCAACAGCCTTTGACAAAATAGCCACCTATCAGAGACTATGGATTAACAGTATCCAAGAAGACACAGATTCCCATCTCTGATCTAAAGGTGGGTGTTTTGTTTTATTACTGAGGAAAGAAAAAAGGAAGTTTGAATGAAACACACTTTCAGACATTCTGTATTTAGATTCAGGATTGTTTTGAAGTCTCTTTAGCACAAAAGGGTCGCAGGTTCACAGGAAGGAAAGAAGATTCCAAATTTTAGACCAGAAAATTGACAATTAATGAAGGAAATGAGTTCACATAAGTGCCAAAGGTTCAGCATATGAACATACAGTATTAATTGAAGAGAAACGGCAAGTTAACCAGGACTCTGGTCTCCTTATAAGCCAGCATGAGGAAGATTAAAAGCAGTTTTTTTTGGCTGAGCTGGGAAATACAGGTGTTTAGTCACAGCAAGTGTTTATGGAACGGGGAAAGACTATAGCCGACACATTTATTTCTGTTTATATTTAATTATTCAATTAACTATTTAAATTGCTCTATAAAAATATTATTTTTGCTCAAAAGATTTTCTCAAAACCTCTTTAATGCATTGTCTTGTTAAAACTTTAAAGCAACAGCAATATTTGGTTTTAAAAAGCTTGTTCAAGGTTGTGTTAATCACTCCTCCTCTCCTATATGCCACTCCACATTCAACAAATATATAGTTAGCTGGTTGTTAATTGACGAGAGAGTAAAGTATAGTATAGACAGTCAAAAAGGAGACAGGGCTAAATTACAATGCAGCATATAGATCATATAAACACAGGAAAGGAAAGGAAACAAGCAGAAAGAAATAGGGAGCAAATGACATTTAGTTTGATTCTAATGCAAATTAAGGAAAGTGGAAAAACAGTAGAATAGAGGTGTGTGGAAAGCAGCCATCATGTTCCATGAGACATTTACTGAAGACAGAAAAATATCTGACTCTTTTCACTCCTTTAATGCATGGGAAATCAGCTATATGACACCTCTGCTATCTACCCAATAGAATACCCTATGGGTAAAATTGGGTTTTCTCATGGCTACATTTTTGGGTACAAAATCCCACGAGTCCTGCTGTTTTCTTCTCTTACCCTTCTGTAATGTACCAGAAACATGGAACAGGCCATTATTTTCCAATAGTGTTGTACTTAACAGAGTACAGCTGTCAGACTCATGAATGTGTCATTAAAATAAAAAAAAAAACAGATTCATTTTTAAATTGCTTTCCACATCATTTCTTTTTGGAGAAATAGGCTAACAATAAAATAGAGGGGGAAACAGGATTGTATCCCCCATAAACAAGAAACTCTAAAAGCAAAAAATAACTCTAATAGCAAAACTGAAGCTATAGTGCTTTGGCCTTTCATGAGAGCACTCTCTTGAAAAGACAACAACACTAAGAAAAGTTGAAGGCAGCACAAAGAGATCCAATATGAGACGGATCAACACTAGAAAGGAAGCTGTGGTCTTACATGAGCTGAACAGGACTGCTAACGATAGGACATTTTGGAGGTCACCGATTCACAAGATCATGATAAGTTGAAGGTGACTTGATGTCATGTCAAAACAACACTGGAGATCCACTGAAACCAGCTGGGTATTGTTAACCACAAGTCACATTCATTTTAGTTGGTCTATGCTACTTGACACTACAATTAGATTTACCCTGTGTTGTCATTATGCTGTGCGAAAACAGATTTCTACCTACTCAAGGCCAAACAAAAAATGAAATGGGATGATGCATGTATATCTTGCAACTGCTTGGTCTCCCTTTGCAATATTAGAACCACACTGTGTGTTGTGCTTCCGCATTACCTCCATTTCAGTACAATGTGCTTCTACTTTCTGCACCATTTCCTCAGCTTCGCGCACACGGAGGCTCAGCTGTCGAGAGCGTTCTGTTGGGCTCAGCTCAATGTCATAAGAGTCCAGGATTCCTCTCATCAGATCACGTTCCTGCCAAAACAGAGGAAAGGGTGGGGGTGGGGGACTATTAGCTTTCTATTCAACACAGGCAAAGTACAGTACATGTTTCTAGTAGGCACAGAAGCACTTCCATGCTTTCCCTCCTGGGAGATCACAGTCTTCCCACTGTTCTGTTCTGCTTTCACACTTCTCACACCAGTGTTGACAACTGCAATTAAACAAAAATATTGAAATGGGAAAACACTAGCTTTAAATAATTAAAGACTTCAGTTGGAGAGAGAGAGAGGTTGCTCATAAAGGGAAATGCATATGCTCTGCTCAGAAATAACAGTTCAACAGAAGTAGCTTCTTGACAACTCTTTGGGACGCCATCCAACACCACAAAGCAACAACAAGTTATTCAGAGGGCAAACAACAACAATTAACAACAAAACCACCTCCACCCATTCTGAACACTGTCCGCTTCCAGCAGGCACAAAGGCTAAGTGTGAGTACTATGCACTAATACCACACATTTTAATCAAATCAGAACCTCATTTAGAGAGTGTCCAATCCAAAACAGATTTGGGCTTTACCAGCATTCCTTCTCATAAATTATGCAAAATTGATACACACACACACACATACACAAAATGAATTGTTGTTGTTTAGTCGTTCAAGTCATGTCCGACTCTTTGTGACGCCAATGGACCAGAGCACGCCAGGCCCTCTGGCCTCCCGGAGTTGGGTCAGATTCATGTTGCGTGAATGTAGGATCATTTAAACCAGTTTACAAGAAGCTCTTCTGTTCATGGGGCTGACAGAGAAGCAGTGGGAATTCCCAGAGCAGACGACATGGCACATACATCTGTATACCATTAGTCAGGAGTGGTTTTTTGTTTGTTTGTTTGCCTGTTTGTTTCTACAGTGGATGAGCCAAAACCATACCATATTTCCTGAAAACTTTCTGCTACTTTTCATGATTCTGTCACCTTTAAAAGTTTTGTTCTTCTGTGAAAACAATGTTCTCACCATGGCTGGTCCCAGATATCTAATGAAAGTCCAGTATTCATTTACCATCTTGCAGATAGGAATATAACCATTAATGTTACTTTATACGAAATATTATCTTTTGCACTGTTCATTTGGATCATCAGATTTAGAGAGGAGAGCTAGTTTCAGGTTACAATAAGTATTTCATTGTAGTTATTTGGTAGATACACAAGAAAATAAGCTTTCTTGTTTTGTTCCTCTTACTGGCAATTCTCAGCGTTTTACGAAGACTTGTATTCCCTCCAACCAAAAGACTGAGTTGAATGGGATCTCAAAGGTCATCCAACCCAACTCTACAAAAATTCAGCAAACCTGCAAGCTTTAAAAAAAGTGAAGGGGGATGCGGAGAGTGAGTCAAAGGTAGTTCACTTCACAGCTGACAAGTCCATATAATCACAAATTCCCATGTAATAGTAAGCTGACTGGAGGAAAAACTGGTTATGACTTTAACAAGCAGACAAATGAAGTCCTGTCAGTCTAACAACTCACTCCTTTAAAAACTTTTGAGCAGCCAGTGTTCATGGCTGGTCTTAGGAGCTGATGCCTAAGAAAACCCAAGTGGCAACTCGTTCCCCAGAAACAAAATCCAAACGGCGCTCCTTCCCCATTAATACAGTAATCTTGAGCTGGGAGTAATTGAGCAACAGTGAATTGAGCGCCACTGGCTAGACCTGTCTGTAGCTCTCCTGTTACCTCGCCTACCTTCACAGCTGGCCCACCTCTGTGGATGCTTTGAGACACCGTGCAGTGGAGAGTTAAATAATACCAGCATGGAAAAATCAACATCCACTTGTCAAGACCCTTGAAATCTGGACAGCAAGAGCTCCCTTACTACATTCTGTCAAATTCCAGGAAGAATCTCTGTGATATAAAGTCTCTAGTCTCAATAATATCCTATGAATTATTGAGATAAATCTGTCCATGTTTGCTAACTTCACAGCACTGAAATATTTCTCCTATAAGCTTCCTCTCTGGGGATGAAGACTGTGAAGAGGAGTTATCAGTGTATTTTGCCTCTATAAGACAGGAGCTCAAAAAAACCTGTCAACCCCGCCACTCCATTCCACCCAATGAAAACAGTTGCATTCTAGAAATAGGAGCTTAACAGATCTTATACCCCAGTGTATCTGGACTCTGGGCCCATCTCCAACTTGGCTGTCAAAACGTCAGATGCTTAATAATGTGTCTGAGGAGGGTTGAGGAAGAGCATCTAAACTCAAGATGGTGTGAAAAGGAAGGTGAGGATACCTGCAGGAAATGCTACAGATATGTCCAGAACACATTGGGTGTTGAAAGGTCAAGCAAGGAAGGCTAGCAACAGCTCATCAAGCAGAACTAAAGGATAGCTTCAGGCTTAAAAAGCAGAGGTGATGAAGGTGCCGAGGGAAGGCAGAAGGACAAGCATCCTTAGCTACTCCCTTTGCGGCAAAGGGTCTATACAAACAAAGCTATGGAGGGACAGACTGGCCTGCTTAGTATTGAGGCACCTGCAGTGCCTAAAGGTATTTCCATCTGAAGCCCACAGGCCTCAAGAACATTTTCAGAAGGTACGCCTTCTCACGTGGCTGACAATAAGTACACTTCCAAAATCAAGTGCTTTGGGACAGGCCTGCTGCAGAACCTTGGGAGAATTGACACGTCTATGTTGTATTTATTTATTATATTTATTTATTTATTGGACTTATATACCGCCCCATAGCGCTACAAGCACTCTCCGGGCGGTTTACAATTTTTAATTATACAGGCTACACATTGCCCCCCCAGCAAGCTGGGTACTCATTTTACCGACCTCGGAAGGATGGAAGGCTGAGTCAACCTTGAGCCGGCTACCTGGGATTTGAACCCCAGGTCGTGAGCACAGTTTTAGCTGCAGTACAGCGTTTTAACCACTGCGCCACGAGGCTGCCAAACTGATGAAAGAACACAGACCTTTGTACAATGTCTTTGAAATCTTCAGACTTGCCAAGCATTATGAGGACCTCATGCCATGCTAGACTGGGCTACATACAGCTGGCTAATTTTAACCAACCACCCCAAAAAAAGACATCCTTCTTCCCCAAGAACGCCTGTTTTTCTGGAGAATATCTTGAAGTAACGATTTGAAACAAAATTGAGATTCAGAGGAAAACAGGATCCTGGAATCGCTTGCATTAATGAGAAAAGGACAGTTTAAACAGAGAACAAAGTCAAAGAGATTGGGCAACCTTATCTACAGTAAATCGAGTGTTAGAGCAGCAGCATCTTAACAATTTCGCAAAGCTCCCTCCTCATGGCAGTAATTATTTCCATGCTCCTGTAATGCAGCCAGAAAGATTCAGAAACTAGATTCACCCAATACTCAGCAGTGATGAGAGAAAGGTCCAGCTTATCATAAGAAGTCTGGTTCTTCAGCTTCTCAGCCCTACCTGGCTAGAGACGCAAGAGTTTCTGTCCAGCTTGTGCATGACATGCAGATGCAATTTTGGGACAGCCCCATGTTGGAGACTGAGTGTGCTGCCCTCCTGCTTCCAAACCACAGTGTTTTTCCTACTCAAGAGTGTGTGGTGGGAGTGTGGTTTTTTGTTCTGCTCTGTTTTGCTCTGCTTTGACTAGTGTTCATGTTGAGGAACAGTGTGTCTTGCTGTGCCTCAAGTCACCAGCTTGACTTTTTGTATGAAAAGAAATTTAAGAAAAAGCTACCAGTGCTACTTTCCCCTTTACCTTGTTTCAGAAACACACTAGCATCTCCCAGGCTGCTCCCTGTCTTCCATGGAGAAAATGCAGGGTATTTCAAAAAACAGTATAAAATATTTTATTTTGTTTATCTGTACAATCACCTGGCACTTCACTTTTTTTCTTGCATGTACCCTTAAAACCTCTCAAAGGTGTTTGCTATTTGACAGTGAATTTCTAATTAGTTGTTACACACACACACACATACACAAATCAATGGAAAGAAAATTAAAGTTACAAATCTAACCAAAGTCAATCAGATACCAGGGGAAAACCTGTTCCTGTGGTAAAGTTTATCTAGTGTCATAATTTTATTGAAATCCTATATCTTCCTATTGACTTTTATGGTTTCAAGCTAGACACTAGAGTTATCATTATTAGAGACTCGATGTTGTTTGCCGGGCCAAAGAGGGACTTTTCCTTTTATAAACAAGCTGTAATTGTCTACTTTATTGATCTATAAATCTCTAAACTGACTCACTTCACTATGGTTTCATTATATTATGCCTTCTGCATCATTTTCCAAGTGAAAATATAGTGGTTTCCCCCCTTTTCTTTTTTCTTTTCTTCTTTTTTCTTTCTTTCTTTCTTTTTTGAAATAAAGATTGTTTTGTCATTAGTGGTAAGAGAGAAGGAACTGTGCTGGTTGGCTTTCATAATGACTTTTTAATGACAAATTCTAGTCACAGTTAAATCTGCTTTATTTCCACATGAGTGAACTTCAACTATTAATCCAAAACCAAATACACATCTCACTTGCTCTCCAACTTGGGCACAGGCAGCACCTGCAGTACGGCTTCCGAAAGCATGATTGTGATAATATTTCCCCGCTAGTAGTGCCTCTTCCACAGAAGTGGTCCCATTTCTAGCATTAAAATGCATTTTGCTTAATTAGCTATGATTTAAGGAGAATATTAATAGATAGTTTCATTAGTGGGAAATCAAGAAAGGACTTTCCCCTCCACCCCTCCGTCAGATTACCAAGCCCAATTAGCCAAACCCTAGCTGTTTTCAACTAGAAAAGCAAAGTGGTAAATGATCTGCTCTACAATTGCTTAAAAACATTATTGCAACTAATCCTGATAATTGCTGGACAAGCTTCCCCCCAAAAATAAGAGGCATTTACAAAACTTCATCTGTACCCAGCCATTCACCACCCCCACTCTCTCTCTCTCTCACACACACACACACACACACATACACAAATACTTCAATTCATTAATTAGATGACAGATGCAGAAGTAGGCTAAAGGGGACAAAATATAACAAGCACAAACTACTAACAG